GTACCGGGTGGGGGCTGCGGTGTCCTCCACGAGCGGCCGCTTTGGGAGGGTTTGGTACGCGGAACCCTCCGGTGCCCTGACGCGATCCAGCTCTCCTGTTCGCAGGTCGCTGAGCAGCTGCTGTACGAGCACTGGAAGAGGAACAACGCGGAGCTCCGGGAGGTGATGTTGGTTTCTTTCTAGTCCTCTGCTGCCTTGGAGTTATTAAACCAGTTTTTAACTTGGGAGTCATCATATGGCCCCAAGAGCCCAGTAGATCCTGGAGGTGATCCCAGGAGAGCCGCTGGCACTAATGGTGATGCTGCATCCGTTGTCTTCCCAGGTGGAGTCGGAGCTGCACAAGAAGCACGTGAGAGAGTCAGCTACAGCAAAAATCCAAGGTAGGCTGGGGGAAAAGAGCCCCGGTGTTACTGGTCATGAAGGCAGGCTCCTGAAATGGTGAGCATGTGGAGGTGTGACACCACGTGCATTCTGACCCCGCTGGCACACGGTTTGCCTCCCTGTACAGACACAGCTCGGCTGTAGAAGGGACAGGACTTGGCTGCTTGTTCATTTTCTCACACCAGTCTTGAACCAAGTCATGACTGAGGTCGCCATGCTCATCCCCTTAGCGATGGGGAGCTCTGTGTTGCAGGATGACAGGAGTTGCTGTCAGGAAGGATGCTTTCATGAGGAGCTATTGTTCCTATCTATTGAGTACACACCATCCATCTCCTAGGAAATTCAGTGCTGAGAATCTGCTGAGAGATCTGTTGCAGGATTCAGTGTGATGTTCCTCTTACCAGCAGTGAGCCAGGGCAAAGCTGCAAGAGCTCTGCAGTTAAATGTGCACATGGTAGATCTGGGAATACAGTGATTTTGATGTGAAGGAATCTTAAAGTCCTTCAAATGCATATTTCAGTGTTAACTATAACACTAATCTAGCTTGTAGTAGGAAATCTGACCACCCATGCTTGGCGTCAGACCCATGCACAGGAAGCGTACAGACCATTTCCAGCCAGCAGAGTTTTGCTTTGTCTCTGTGCTCATTCCTGGCATTTTCCCAATACGAGTCACTTGCAGGAGTTCCTGAGCCAGAGGCTGTTTCTTTACTTTAGCCTAACCTTAAATGCCATGTTTTCTTTTGGCTTGGAAAGCAAGAAGCAACTGAGCTCAAAGAGAAAAAGCGTTACGAAAACGAGTACGAAACCGCGCGAAGGGAAGCGCTGGAAAGAATGAGACAGGAGGAAGAGAAGCGGCGGCGGGAGGAGAAGCAGCAAGCGGAGATGCTGCTGCAACAAATAGAAGAACTGAAGTTACAGGAGAGAGAGGTAATCCTTAATTCCTCCTCATGTGAGCCACAAGTGAAACGAACATGGAATAGTTCCTGCAGTGAGGATTTTGACTGCTGCAGAGGAGCAGGATGGGGTACAAACTCGGTGTGAACACTCTCTCTGGGCTGTCCTAGCTCTCTGATGTACTTTTTCTTGGTGTTTCCTTTCTCCTTTTAGGCAACAAAGCTGAAAAAAGAACAGGAGAATTTATTGAAGCAGCAGTGGGAGCTGGAGAGCTTGGAAGAAGGAAGGAAACAAATGGAAGAGCACAGGAAGAAGAGAGAGCTTGGGTAAGAAGAAAGAGCAAATGCATTGGTGCTGTTACTGCTTTCTGTTCACATTAGCAGTAGCAGGTAGCTCTGTTGCCTGTAAGTTATATCAGCACAGATGCACCTTTCTGAGCGCTGGCGTGTAACACATCAGGCTTTAGAGTCAGATTGAATGGTCTTTGTTTTCCTCTTGCAGTCGCTTTTTGAGGCATCAGTGCAATGCCCAGTTGCAGAGACGAGCTCAGCAGATACAAGAGGAGCTGGTAAGAGAAAGGACCTCTTGACTTACACTTTATAGATCCTGTGTGCTGAAAAACTCATTCTTTGTGTTCCATTCATGTGTCTGCCTCTGACGCCCACAGGTAATTATTAGGAAGCTCCTTCCAGCTTGTGAGCAGGGCTGGAGGAAAAGGATCACAGGGAAGCCAGCAGACTGGGTGTCGTGCTGAGTACACCTTCAACAGCAGTAGCTGTAGACAGCAGCCCTGCACACAGGCTGGAAACCTGCTGCATAGTTGTTAATCCTGTGGTTTTTCCTCAAGGAGATAGACAGGCAAATCTTATCAGCCCTTCTTGAGAAAGAAGATGAGGAGCAGCGCCGCCAGTCCGCGCGGCGGGAACGGGCTGTGGCAGATGCTGCCTGGATGAAACGTGTCATTGAGGAGCAGCTCCAGTTAGAAAAGGAGAGGGAAGCAGAGCTGCAGACTATTTTCAGGTGAGTCTGCCCACCTCTGAATGTCACCTGAAGAGACCCTGTGCAGAGTGGCACACCAGTGCAGAGACATCTCTGCTGACAGGATAGCATGTGCTGCCATCACGTTTCAGTTGAAGGTTTTGTTGTGAAGACTTGTAAGATCTTCAGCTGTAACTGCCCCAGCTTTGCCAGTAATGCCCTCAACTACCTGTCCCCAGCTTGAAGTGACACCCCTGTTAAGAGGCAGCCTTCCTCCCAAAGGCCTTCTGTGCCCAGGGCAGACCTGGGTGTCCAGGAAGTCCTGCTGCAGGCCAGTATGTCCTGCAGTGTGACGCTCCTGTTGTTTAGTGACAGCAAGGTCAGCATAGTTCTCTGCAACAGGCACAGCCAGGGTAGACACAGCAGCTCCGGGGAACAGATGTGCTTCTCTAAAGCATAGGGTAGCTCATGGAACAGATAGATAGTTTTTCCTTAGGTAGTAACCTCAGAGATAATTCTTCCTCTCTCTTGTAGAGAAGAAGCTAGAAAGATGTGGGAGAAGAGGGAAGAAGAATGGGAAAGAGAGAAGGCAGCCAGAGATCGCCTGATGAATGAGGTGAGGACCTTTTTTGACGAGTTCTCTCCTGGTTCCAGCTATAACCCTCCACCAAAGGTGGGTCACAGCCTTCACTACCCAGGGCAGTTTTCCTCTGGGTAAGTCAGGCAAAATACTTGTCTGACTCATTTTCTCAGAACTGTTTAACCATCTGCCCTGAGATTTCCCCAGTTCTGCCTCTATGGCTGCCTCCTCTTTGACTGACCTCCCTTAATGCGCTCGTTCCACAAAGGTCCTTGCAGGCAGGCAGCGCCAGATCCAGGAGAAGATGGAGTTAAACAGGCGAGCCCAAGAAGAGTCTATAAAGTATCGAGAGCAGCTGATTAAAGAACTTGAAGAGGCAAAAGAGCTGACCCGGCGAGAGAAGGCGCAGGAGGAGGAACTGAAGACAGCACGCAGGCAGGAGCTGGAGGCGCAGGTACCGCGTGCTCCCCAGAAACACTCTGGTTGCTGAAGGTGCCCATTCTGTGTCCAGCATCACTGTAACCACCCTGTTTTCTTTGTGCCCAGCTGACAGAACGGCGCCTGCAAGAGCAGGAGGAGCAGCAGTGCCAGAGAGAGGAGGAAGAGGAGGAGAGATCAGCCCGGCAGCGCTGCGAGGAGCTGGTGCAGCAGGAGGCCAAGCGCATGGTGGAGCAGGGCTATCGCCCCAGGGTAGGTAGCAGAGCTGTGGGGCAGCCTGTGCGCATGGGTCTGCCCTGACACACGGGTGATGGCCTCACACAGACACAATCCTCATTGCCTCTTATCTGCCTCTTAGTCATCACACAGCACCAGGGCAGAACCCTGGGCCTGTTCCTTCCCCGGTACTATTTCTAGCACTAGTCTCCCTCCTTGTGTACAGACTGTTAACTCTGGAGCCCATCAAGTAGTTACTGTGTTTGTTTTGACCCCATTAGCTCTACAGTTACCCCAAAGCAGCGTGGACTTGAGGATTCTCAGGTTTATGCCTGAGGAACAGGCACTAAATGTGGCTGCAGACTACAGAAAGAAAACTTGGAAGAATCAAGGAACTCCTGGAACTGTGGTGGCTTTGGAATAGCCTACAGTGACACTGAGACTGAACTCGGTGGATTGCTGAAACTATTTAGCTGAGGCCCTGCTGAAGAGCAAATTTCTACTGGCTTTGAGAAGGTGGAGGTGTGAGCACCCTTGGAGGTGCTTCAGGAGCTGTGATGATGGATTTCAGTAGGTGCTGTGCTGGGGCAACAGAGCAAATAATCAGGCCCTTTGGATCTGAAGAGTGGAAGGATCCATCCTTTCCCCAGGCTGGGAACTGCCAATCACTGCGTTTGGAGTCGGTTCATAATGTGTGCTGCAGCTGTAATCCTAAACACATTCCTCTCCAGAAGGCACCAAAGACTCCAGTAAATGTTGGTTTTCACTTGTCTCACAAAAAATGAATAACTTCAACCTGAACAAACTGTTTGTGTCTTTACATGAGGCAACTCCTGCAGCAACAGGAGGAGGTTTTAGTTGAATATTTTACTTCATTCCTTGCTTTTATCATTGGTGACTGTGCTTGAGATTGGTCCTTCAGCTGGTGTGGCCTGGTCAGGTCCTGCCCAGTGCATGAGGAGCTGTTAGAGGGCCCTGCCAGAGACAGGCATCATCACAGCACTGCAGGAGACACCTTTTCCAAGGTCTTGTTACAGAGCCAGCAGTTGCGTAACCCCAAATAATTCTGCACACTAAAGGCTTTTAACGTTTTATAGTAATACTGTAAACAAAAGATTAAGTCAAAATATTGTACAGACAGAATGACACTGATAAATACAAGTTTTGGAAAAAAGGCAAATAAATTTTTTACTTTCCTATGCAGCATTTTGTAAAGAAAGAGCAGAGTTTGTTTAGAGGGGAAAAAGGGGAGATCTAGTCATAAAAGACACAACCACCTTTTGTTATTTGGGGTGTTGTAAGTCCGAGGCCTAGTGCTGTGTGACCATAACCAACCTGGAACAAAGGTTTGTTTGGAGGCAGGGAAGTGGCCAGAAATGGGGTTTAGGTGACAGAAGAGGAAATCGATTCCGGGTTGACCATGATTTTATAGCTAAAGGTAGAGCTAAATGCTTGGGTTTATAAAATCTGGAGCTGGTGCCGTAAGAACAAGGGCTTGCAGCTCTCAGAGTGTCTGGTTTGGTACAGAGACAAGTTTTAAACAGCTGATAGATGACAACATAACTCAGTGTTTCCTTGGTCTGGAAATGAGGCAGGATACGCTTAAGAGAAGCACACAGCATTGTCCTGAGAGGCTTCTGGACCCACCTCCTGCCTGGCAATGGTGCCAAGTTAATGAAAAGCTCCTACAAGATTATCCCTGTATTTTATTGCCAGTAACATCATTCTGAAGTAGGTTTTACAAGTGTCTTTTGTCCAACAGTGTTATGGCACTGAGTGTTCAGATAAAATCCAAACACACTCGAGAAGGAACCAACCTCTGAACTTGAGTTTGTGGCAGTTTCTCACTGGAAGGCCTGGAGGGGTGTGTGGTTTGGGCAGACCCTGTGCTGCAGCCTGGCTGTGGAACAGCGTTTCTGACCCAAAGGGGTCTGTGAAAGCTCTGAACATTCACAGCTCCCCAGCCCCGCTGCCACCTCAGCTCCTTGGCAGTGACAACACAGCAGAGGGAAAATCAGTGATGTTTCCCCCCATCCATGGAATTTAGACTCCCCCAAAAACTCTTAATTGTTGAAATTCTGGACTGACACATTTTTGGAAGCTTTGTGAACTGTTATGAATGAAAACCCCCAAAACACACAGTGACATTTGTGACCCTGTTGCCTTTCTGACACGCAGCCCACCCAGGTCACTCCATATCTAGCTCCTAAAATACTAAAAGATTTGCATAAAACTTACTGGATAGAAGAGCTCTTTTCACATTTGGCTATGTTGAGGTACAGAGGTTCTGTGCTATGGCAGATAGAGCTGCTTTGCACTGGCACTCTTCTAACTTCCTTTCTTTTTCAGTGAGTACAGAGATCTTTAGTGAAATTGCATCTTGAGTCACTGAGAGATGCTGCTGCCAACCAGAGGGTGCTTGAAGCTGACAGTAAAATTCTGTAGGAAACTGAAGAATCAATTATTAAATCAGAAACAAAGGATAATATTTAACCACTAATGCCCTAAAGTAACATCAAACATATATATTAATGGCATAGTGACAACTAAAAGAAAGAACTACTAAGTTTCAAATTCCTTCCAAAAAACAGATAAAGTGACAAAGACCTCGTATAGTTACACGTCATAAGCTTGGATGCCCACAACTACTCCTTGTTTTAGCAGACTAAGAACGTATTATTGCACAACAGTTGATATGGGAACAGATACTACTCGGCTCATACTCCTCTGTCGGGATGGCAGCCGGTTACAGTCCTGGAGCCTTCAGAGCCTCTTTTGCTGCAGGGTTCTCGGTCAGCACCATCAGGACATGTGCAGCTCCAGGACGGAGAGCCCCAGGGGCAGGATGTGGCCCGCTGGTGCATGTGGTGACTCCAGTGGGAGTGTTGCAAAGTGCTATCTGAAAGCAGAACGTGGCCCCCAAGGAAACATCTAGCGAGAGCTTGAGACGACGCTGGTATGCGGTATTGGCTCGACAGCTATTTGCAACATGCTATTACCTGTAACTAAACTGGCAACACAGGCACAAAATAAGGCAGTGGGTTAAATTAATCATAAAATTGTTAGAAAACATGCAAAAATAATACTGAGGGTTTCTTAAAGTAAGTTTCTTGCCCCTTTAGTTCTTCCTCATAAAAATCCAAACAGTTCCACACCTATGTTTGCAATCCAACCTTTACAAAACAGGACTGAAGAGCCAAATGTGACTCAGTTGTTGTTCTCTTTGGTTGTGATGGTGACCAGCTGCTTGGCTGCCTTGGCGATGTCGTAGGCGCACTGGATGACCTGCTGCGTGACCAGCTGGATGTCGGTGCCGGGGCACGTCTCCACGGGAAGAGTCTTTTTGCACTCGGATTGGAGTCTGTAGGCACTAGATGTCAGCAGGCGCAAAGAAGTCCTGACCAGCTCAGATTTGGGTTTCTGGGAAAGGAAAGTAGAAGTTGAACTACACAGAACAACAAAATCCTTTCAGGACTGCTTTAATTAGATGCAAGTGGCTCACAAGTGATCTGTGACGTGGGACACGTGCTGCTTTCCGCACAGGCTCCACTGCACTGCAGGAGATGCTACAAGCTGTCGCTGCAGCAGAGACGTGGAATAGGGGTGGATGAAAAAAGTTCCTGGAATTTCTCCTCTCTCATCTCAGGGGTATTTCAAACTGCTGCCAGGCAGCACACAGGGAATACTGCTTCATGCGCTCATTTAGGAAGTTACTCAGTCTAGTGCCTGTTTACTGCTACCCAGCCCACTTCCTGGCTGACATCGGGGCACAGTGTGTACAGGACACCCAGCTCAGCAGTGTTAGATTTGCCCTGCAGCTTTAGAGGCAGATAAGACTTTACAAAACTTAAGTCATGGAGATTTCACTCCCTCAATTTGCTGTGAATCACAGAATTAATGCTGGATGGTACTCACTTTTGGGAACAAGGCTGCCATTTCTGTTACTGCCACATGTATCCTCTCAGAGCATGGTATATAGCTGCAAAAAGATGTGCTGTATTATTCATAATGTAAAGACTCCCCTTTCTCCTCAATCCCACTGCTCAGTGACTATTACTCAAAAAACTGCGTAACAAAATATATATTCTAATATATATTCTACAAGTATCACTGCAGGCTGCACTGAGGGCGATGGAAGCAGCTAGTGCAGCACGCAGCATGGTGAGTCCTGGTGTCTCCTCAGCATTGCCCTGCACGCTGCAGCACACACTTGTATAGAGCACCACAGCGTCAGAGAAAAGCAAGAACTTAGCCAGTGCTGTGGAATTATTTCTTAAGTTTTCATTATTCTTTGATCAAAGTTTCTTTGAAGGAAGGACTGTCCCCAGCCATTATACCAAATGTTCTCAGACAAGGTCTCAATTTGTTTGCAACTGTGGAAACGTGCCCATGAATATTAACAGCACACTAATGCATCAGATGGTTTCCAAACCTCCCCCTGCCCAACCATCCACATCATACAGAAAACTGCTCAGCGCCTTCTGTTCAGCACATGCACAAGGATGTTCCATTGTGAGGTGTGGGAGAGCACGGCCAAGCAAACCCATCCATGTCAGCCAGGCACAAAGTGAAGTAAGACTCTGCAGCTTGAAAACTTTTAAACATAATCTGGTAACACAGACGTTTGGGGGGGGGAAAGCAACTTTTTTTCCTCAGTGCAGATGATCAAAAGTGGATAAAAAACCCCAAACCACTCTGTATGTGGGATCTGAGTGAGTTTAACTTGCTGCCACCTCAGCAAAATCCCTATTGGTTTCTTTTGAAAGAGCTCTTCCTCCATAAGGCAAGAGACTGCAAAACTAAAGAACCAGAAGTTTTTAAACTGCTAAAGATTCAAGCAGCTGAAAATATCCAGTAATCTGGGAAGAAAAGTTAAAAACCCCAAAGATGTTACAATTTATTTTAGTTTCAGAGTTGAATTTTGACCAAACTCTTGAACATAATTTGACAGCTGAAGGTTGGTGTGTACAGAGCTGTCTTGGCTACACCTCTGAAGCAATGGGATTTTCCTGCTCTTCCTTTTCCAAGTCAAAACAGAAGCCTTAAACCCCCCACTTTTTACTCAAAAACTGTATTCAAAACCCATCAGTTCTGAGCCCCTCTGAGCCATCTGTTCAATATGGATCTTCCATCTTCACCACAAGCTGCTGTGAAGCACTGTGTCAGCGTGGCCTGTCAGAAGTCCCATTTCAAAAGACTTGTTCTATACTTCAAAGACTCAATTTTAGCATTAAGCTTGTTAACGTGATTCACTCTCAAGCAAAACCATCTCAAAAAATCCCAAAGTAACAGCACTCCAGAAAAACATTCCGCG